ATATATATTTAAATTTGACTTATTCAAAAGCAAAAAAAAGAAGCAATTTTATTTTGAAATAAATATAAAAAATAATTAATGTAGAATGCAAAAGTAATTAATGTAAATAAATTGTGATAAAAAAATATTTAACTTAATTAGAAACATAGAAAATCTTTTAAAAATCTTGTAAATTCCCTATATTTCATCAATTTATTAAGCAACTTGAGTATTATACAATGATTTACTTATGGATTTCAATATAAATTATATAACGATTCATTTATAAATTTTAATGTTATAAAATATCGAATATTCTAAAATTTTCTCTTTTTTCGTGGTAAATTTTTTATAAATAATAAATTATATATAACTCATTGTATATTACATTAAATTAAAATTATATATCTGATATATCTAAAAGAATATATTTATTATTTTGTTGAAGGTTTTGAAAAAGTGATACTAGGATACTTATATGCACATAATTTTAAATTCTATCATTTATTGTTTCACTCTATTATCCAAAATTCAAAACGCATATATCTCATTAACAATAACTTTTGTTAGATATATATATAGTATAGGAATTCTTTTTTTATTTTGATATATAACATTCATCATCCATATATGTTTCATCTTTTTATAAATCTATACATATATATAGATTTTCCTTATTTTTAATCCTTATATTGTCATTCATATTTGAATATTTTTGAAAATTCGCACTTTATATATTTATGTGATATAATAATTCAAACAAATTACTTTTTTCTATTTTGATCTTACTTAGAATGTTTGTTTTATTTTTTGTTTTATCTTATTTGAATGTTTTTCTTATTTTTTTGTTTAGAATATTAGAAGATACTTTAAATATAAATAAATAAATATGTAATATATAAATTTTTCAAACTTTTCCTTTTTCATACTAAAAAACATATCGAATATAAATAATTCCTACTTATAGTTTGCAGTTATAAAGTGTTTAGAATGAAAGTTATAATTAACAATTTCAGATACAACAATTTTTATTACAACTTCTACTTCATCCTTTCAAATTTACTGCTGGTGGTTACATTCTTAGTAACAAGTTATCAGCAAAAGTAAGTTAAATAATTGTATAATAATAATTGACTATTTACTTAAGAATTTAATTCTTAATTAATTATTTTTCAGTTTTTTGGTACTCTGATCACTTATTTGATTATATTCATACAAATAAGTACATCAATAAATATGAAATAAAATTCTTAGGCAAAATCCTTAAGAATTAATGATTTATTACTACTAAAATCATAATTTGTGATTATCTATTATTTTTTATAGCACATTAGTGTAAGTTATAAATAAGAAAATAATAAAGATTAAGAAAAAAGAAAGCCAATTTGATATTCGCTTTTATACGTTTATTATATTCTTTTCTCAAAGAAGATTCTTTCTAAAATTTTAGAGAGCAAAATTGATAAATTAATAAATACAAAAATATTTATTGAGACTCATTTATTAAATTACTAGCAATTTTTGTTTTCATTAAATTTTGTTCGTCTTTGTCTCTATTATATTTTACTACTCTTGCTTCATCTAATGAAAATTTTTAATTAGAATTTAATTATTTAATAAATAATTTATATTTATGTGCAGTAAAATTGAAATTGTTTTAAATGAATATTTTGTTATAAGCGTAATAACAAAATATTTGTAATAGCTAATTTTATGATTCTCTACAATTCATGACATATTATCATAAATTATGAAATAGGAGAAAAAAATTACATCTTCTAGAATATCGAGATTGTAACATCGATGACGATAGCAAAAACTTGTGAGTCATATCATACAAGTCAAATCATTCAATTTTATAATTGCAAATACATTTGTAAATTATGTAATACATTTGATATAAATATTTTGTAAATGTAATAATATTTTATAAATGTAATAATATAATTATATATTATTGCCATTATAAAGGTATTACTATGTAGCAAATCTGATTAATTATAGGGTCGCAAACATATAAAATATATCTCGTGTCTCTTTTCGTTTGTTTAAAAAAATCGTAAAAAAATAATTCTGATATAAAGTCTAAAAAATTTTACTTTTAAATATCACATGAATTTTATCATAAAAACAGATTGTATAACATTTCTTCAATGGTTTCGTTATATTTTATATGTTTTGTTTCATTGACTAATAAATAATTAGTGCTGGTTCGTAGTTAGTTTATTCATAATAGAAAAATTAAATAAAAACGAGAATTATATAACTCTTAAAAAGAATGATTAAAAGAATTACAAGAATCATAGAAATTATAAAAATCTGGCTGTGAATCTGAGAAAAAAAACACGAAAAAAGTTGAATAAGTTTAATATATAGCAACAGGATTCTGAATTTTATTCTTATGTTTTATTTAGTTGCTTTATCTATAATTTCGTTACTATATCTATTCTATTAAGTTTGTATAAATATATATTAATGATTTTAATAATATAGCATTCATTTTTAAACTTATAATTTGTTTTTTATTGGTAATGTATCCTAATATTTAATTGTGTTTGTATTTAAAATCAGATTTCAGTAATTAATATAAATAATTTTTTTGTTAAATGTAGTTTAGGAATAAAATACATTCCAAACGAAATTTTAAGAAATTTTAAAGAATATTTGTCAGAAGAAAATTTTAATTATATTTTTCTATTAATTTCTAAGATATTAATAAAAAATTTTTATATAATTTTTATATAATAATATTATATATTTATTGAATATTATTTATATGTATATATGCTTTGACAATATCTATGCAAGCTTTCCTATTATTACTGTAAACAGATAGTATTAAAATATATAATTATATGAATTAATTAAAAATCTTTTATGGATTATGATAAGTTTAAAATGTTTTAAATCCAATATTGAATTTGTATATTATTCAAATTTATAGAACTTTGTAAAAATATATATTATATAAACAACTTAGAACCGAATTATGACCGAAATTACAATAATTAAATATTACAATGAATATCAGTATTACTTTTGTTGCAATTATATCCATAAAAAATTTCCATCATAATTCATAAGAAAGAAAATTTTTTATTGGTTTACATTTATACATTTTAGCTGCATACTGTGATTATATATAAATATAAATAATAAATAGTTGTATAATACTGATTCATATATTACTAAAAATATACACAAATAAACAAAATTCAATATATTATATATTCAAAATTCAATATATATTATATTCAAAATTTTTTTATTAAGTTTAAATATAAATAATTATAAACAAAATAGATCATATAAAAAATTAATTAAAATTTTAATTAAATTATAAAAAATTGTAACTATCAAAATTATAATTATTTTGTTATAAAGATTCTATAATAAAAAAAATAACTGTAATAAAATTATTTCTTGCATTAAGAAACAAAACAATTACATAAAATTCAAATCTCCTACTTTGCCATTTTAAACAATAACAATGTCTCAGACATTGACATAAAAATGATGAGCTATATCCAAGCAATTCGAAAATGAGCAATTCAGAAAAATGCATTTCTTCTATTAGAAATTATGATCTAGAATTAAGAAAGGAAAAAAATTTATTAATAATATCAGTTAAAAAAAATAATAAGTAATTATTAATAGTAATAGTAATAGTATTAGTAATTAGTAATTAGTAATTAGTAATAGTAATAGTAATAAATAATTACATATTCATTACGCTAATAAATATAAAATCACACATATACAACAATAACACAAATTGAAATCAATTTAAAGAAATATTTGAAATAAAAATATAAATTGAAAAATATTCCTAAAAATTCATGAATAGACAGCGATAATAAAATTTTTAAGTATAATTTAGAAAGCAAGCTAAGTAGACGCCTAAACAAGAAAAGTTTAAAAATATTCTATCCACAATATATCCCACAGAAAATTCATTAAAAAAACTAAATTAACGTGAATTGAAAAATATTTAATAAAAACCAAAAAACACAATTGAACAAAACACTAAATGCAATTACCAAAGAAATAAACCAATTAATTCAAAATTATTGATAATGAAGAATTTTATTTATATTTTTAATATAAATTTTGTATAAAATAATTATTGTGAAATAATTATTATGGAAAGCGATTAGAAAATTGAAAAGATTAATTATTTCTTTATTTGCAACAAAAAAAAAACTATAATTAGCAAAAAATATTTTTGAAAAAAAATTATTATTTTTGTCGCAAAAATATATTACAAATATATAAAAATATATTATATTATATATTCATCACTATATCATATCATATCATATCATTCATATTTCATAAAATATATTTAAATATATATAATTAATATTATTTATTAATTATATATTAGTTATATATTATAATATTATAATTATTCTAAGTTTAATTTTATCCACTGAAACATAATGTTGAAACTAACTGAATTCAAAATATTAGATAAAACAAGTTAAAAGAAATAAAATAAAACATAAAAATTCAAAAAAAAAAAAATCTTTTGACATCGATCAAAAATAAAATTCTTCTGTTTGATTATAAAATTTAATAAGTTGTCATAGTTATGACATTTAAAAATTCATTGAATTTTATTGAATATAATACTCACAATTTCTACATTATATAAAAATTATAAAAATACGAGATTACTTATAATTATTTTTAATCGATTTAGTTTTATTATTAAAAGTGAGAAAAGAAATAAACCAAAAAATAATAAAAATGATAAAATCAATCAGATTAGTGTAATAAGTTCAAAGATGATATTATAAAATGAAACAATTATAATATAAATAAATAATAACTTTTAAAATGCAAGAAAAATTTTTCAAAATATAATTAATGAAATAATTGGATAAAATGAAAAAATGAAATAAATAACTAGATAATGAATATATATATA